GCGCGGCCGAGAGCGGCCTCCGCGCCCGCAAGGAGGAGGACGCGTTCCTGGGCGAGCAGGACACGGGTGAGGGGCGGCGGCAGAGCCCGCCCGCGGCCCCCCGCACCCTCGGCCCCGCGCCCGGAGCGGAGCTCCCCGGGCTCCCCGGCCGTCCCTGGGCCCCGGCCCCGCCTTCACCCTGAGCCACAGATCCAGGGGTTCGGCACAGAGCCTCCCAGCACAGCCTGGAATGTGCTCTCCCACAGACGGCTTGGCCTTCCAGCCTGGACCATTTGTGCATGGCCTCCTTGCATGCTCCTTGAGCATCTCTCCACCTGGGATGCTCCTTGAGCATCCCTCCCACCCTGGGGTGCTCCTTGCATATCCTTCAGTCTGGGATGCTCCATCCCTCTCTGGTGCTCAGCTGGAATAAAGTCAGGTGATCATTTGATCTGCAAGAAAATCCTTTGCCTATTTTTAACTGATTTCTTCCTCCTCCATAGTTGAGAGAAATGCTGTTTCTCCCCTATATCATGTTTCTTCAAGCAGTGTTGCCCTTCCCCTCTGGGGCTCCCAGTCTGGGTGCCTGTCAGCACCCAGGCCCATGTTTGCACAGCCCCAGGCTCCCCTTGCCCTCTGCCCTGTCCCGCTGTCCCTGTCATCCCACCCCATGGGTGAAGCTCCCATTGCCCGTTCCCATCCTGTGCTCTCCTGACTGTTGAGGCAAAGCTGCTGCCTGCAGGGGTGTGGGAACAACTTTCCTGGAAACACGAGGCCTCTCGTCACACACCCAGAATCTGGTGCAGTTTTAGCAGTGCCAATGCCTGCAAGTGGGGCAGCTGGAGAAGAGAGCTCCTGCTTCTGATGCTTGTTGCTGGAACGCCTACAGAGCCCATCAACAGCTCCAGTCTCTGCTGTCTCCTCTGCAGCAGCTCCAGACCCAGGTGGCCCTGGTTCTCCAAAGCATTAGCTCCCCAGTAAAGCCATGTCTCTTTCATGGCCCCTTGGAAGCTAAGTGTGATTTGGTGTCTCCTCTTTCAAAGCATGTACATTGGTGGTGGGATGGGCAGCTGTGCACTGGCTGTGCAGGCAGCCTCTGGCTCCCACTGCTCCCAAGTGACCCCTTCCAGCTGCTCCCATCCCCACACCACAGCTCTGCTGTCCCTATGCGACACCGGTGGTCAGAGACTAAAAATAGCATGTCTGGCAGGGAATGGAGGTACTTCTTGGTGGGAGGGCTGTGGTCTGCCCTCTTCCACAGTTGCTTCCTAGGTATTCATGTCCCCTTGTGCTGGGCTGGCCTGTCACCAGAGCAGAGGGGTGGTGTTCTGGAGGGATTGGGCAGAGGAGTCCAGTTCACTCCTCGCTGTTTCCCTGCAGGTGGGGCTGGGGCCTCACTCAGTTGTGCCAGGGGCTGTATGTGACATCCCACCCCAGCTGCAGCCACTGCCAGGCCAGCTGTGGTACCCCCACCAAGGCCACCACCCAGTCCTCCCACTCAGTCCAGCTCACTCAGACCAGACAAGCCCATGCAGGGCTGTGTCTGCTCAGAGGCTCAGGATGGAAAAGCTGAGCCTTTCCCAGTCCCACTCCTAAACCACAGCACAAACGAGATTAAATTCACCCGGAGGGGATTCTCTGGCTGTGGGAGTTTACTCCTGGTTGCAGCATCACTGAAATTAAAACTCCTACCCTCCCTGGCCTCAGGAGAGCTGCAACCAGGTCATGTCAGTGGGACAAGGACATGTCATGGGACAGGGACTGGGCTGGCAGACAGACAGGCAGCTGATGGGGGATATGGGCTTTCCTGCTTACTCCCCCCTCCTTTACCAAACTCAGGAAACATCTGTATGGAGGGACAAGCTTTCTCATCTTCCAATTTTCCACTTGGTGCCCCTCTTTTTCCACTGTGGATGCACAGAGCACTGCAGCCCCTGAGAAAATTCTTCCAGGAGCCCTGGATGATGCCCTGAGCTACTTGGTCCCCTTCAGAATCTGTGAGGGATGGGCACAGCCTCACAGCTGCCCCAGCAGCTCCATGTGCCTGGCAGCAACCGGGACGGGCAGGGCATCCTTAGCTGGTGTCCTCCCACCACAAGGGCAGCAGCTGATACTCACAGAGATTCAAGGCATCTTTCAGAGCAAAAAAGAGACTTTTTCATCCTGCTGAGGCCCAGCAAACCTCTGCCCCGCTACTTTGCCATCTTGGAGCTGGGTGTCCAGTGTGTGGCTTCATTTCACAGTGGGCCTCATCTGCCAGAGGAAGCAAGGAATTAAAGCAGAGTCCTTCCTGCAGCGGAGCGAGTGGATGTTCCAAGGCCTCTGGTTTGCAGGTTTGCTCCTCTCTGCCCTCGCTTCCATAGAGGTATTTTCTGTGCCCTAGCCAAATGTTTTGCTTTACTTCTGTTTTGCTCAGGTCCTTTAGCTCAATCACAACTCCAAGTAAAGCTGCTGCATCTTTTTTAATATCTTAATTTCCTCTTCTTCAGTCCCACTGCATTTCAGAGACCTGTTTGCTGTGTTAAGAACCCCTCCAAATGGAGCATAGGAGTGGGCCTATCCCTGAAGACTGATGAATGGACTGAAATGGAGTAAAATTCAAAGGGTTTTTGTCTCTCTTAATCTCCAGGGAAGTCAGTTTGGAATAACCAGAGCTAAAGAAAAGGATCAGTAAAATGACTCAAAGCAGTATCTGAGCCAGAAAGGCTCCTGGCAGCTGGGATCAATAGGGAAGCTGATAGCCATGCTTGAAGGGGCTCAGTGTAATGTTAGTGCTGAGTAAACACTGCAATAAGAGCCCCAAGTTGCTCAATAACTCACACTTGTTTTCTCCCTGCTGCCCACAAAGACCCAGAGTCCTTCCTGAAGTCTGCACGTCTCCAGCGCCTGCCCTCGTCCTCCTCAGAGATGGGAAGCCAGGATGTGTCCCCCCTGCAGGAGACCAGCAAGGATCCCTTCTCAGGAGACTGCAGCTGCCGGCAGGATGGGCTGACCGTCATCATCACCGCCTGCCTGACCTTCGCCACAGGGGTCACTGTGGCCCTCATCATGCAGATCTATTTTGGGGACCCTCAGGTAAGACAGAACAGTGGCTTTATGGTGGGGCTTTGGCTCCAAAGATGGGAGAGATCTGAGACTTTTCTCCTGATCACCAGTTTGGCAAGGGGAGTACTGGGGAGCCATGGCTGGTGTCAGTGAGGCCCTGGGTGCTCAGTCTCATCTGTTCAACCCCAAATTGGCTTGAAAGCCTTTTCCTGCACCTGAAGGTGGAGCTTGGAGAGGCAAGCCAGACTCTCAGAGCTTGCCCCATGGCCAGGGTGTGGGGCTGTGTCAGGCAGGATTGGGGGTGCTGCTGGGGGGAAACAGACTGCTGCTGTGGTTTGAGCCAGATGGGAGTGCTTTCAGAAAATAATCCTTAGTTAAGCAGTAGGCATCTTGTCCACTTGGACAAAGCGTTATGGATTATGGGCATACATGCCCAGATTCACCTCTGGAAGATTCATCTGGGACCAAGCAGGGAAAAACCTGAAATAGCTGAAAACAGAGGTGAACCTCCTGCTAATCTGTCCCACAGCCCAGTCCTAGATTGCAAAACCAAGGCAGCATGGCCATGGGGTTGGATCCTGCTGCAGAACCTCTGTCAGGGTCACAGTCAGCCAGGAGTCACCATCATGATCTCCACGTGCTGCCATGGCCATTCTGTCTTTGCATGTCCCCAGGTCAGCCTGGCTCTTGTTGAGAGGCTGCAATTTGTGCCATAGGGATGAAATCAACTCTTTAAAATATCATGTGATGCATTAGCACACCACTGGCACAAGGATGAGAACAAGCTGTGGTCCTGGGGGCTGCTGCATTTTTTTCAGCTGTATCCCCATTCCCAGTGAGTGCCTGGCTGCAGCACAGGGACAGCTCTGGGTTTGTGAGGGTCAGAGGGAGACTTGGAGTGCGGAAAGCTGTCTGAGCTGGTGGCCCTGGCTACCTGCAGCTGCCCTGGAATGGGGACGTGCCAAGGGACATACGGTTCCCACTGGCATTTGTTGGATCAGCCACAGCTTCAGCGCTGGCCCAGGCTTCAGGTGCCTCATTGGTGGGTGTGGATCTGGGCAGCAGCAGCAGCAGCAGCAGTGCCCAGCACAAGCCTCTCCTGTCCGGCAGCTGTTCCACCGCGGGGCTGTGGTGACGGACGCCGCGCGCTGCACCGCGCTGGGCACCGATGTGCTGGCCAGGCACGGCTCCTCGGTGGACGCAGCCATCGCCTCGGCCCTCTGCGCCGGCATCGTCAACCCCCACAGCTCGGGGCTCGGAGGGTAAGTGTGGGGCACTCGCCCCTGCTCTTGTCTCCAGCTGTCCTCAAATGAGTGGTTTCACAGAATCCCAGACTGCTTTGCGTTGGAGAGACCTTAAAGCCTGTCACAGTATATTAGGAATGTCAAAATACAACACAGACTCTCTAGATGGGTTGCACAAGACAGCAAGTTTTACTTTTCCAGATCTTCTTTTACAGACAAGTCTGAGAAGGTCCAAAAGGTAAAATTCTCATTGGTCATGAAACCAACACATCACCATCACTGGACAGTTGGGAACACCACCCCTTGACCTTTTCTTTCAAGAAAACAACAAGGTGACAAACACCTGCAGAGGTTTTCCTTCTCTAAGGATTTTTTGGATTCCTCCTTATGATTTCTCAGGCCAGAGTGAGAAGTAGTTTCACACAGGCTCAAGCTCATGTCTGAAGCCTCAAAATCTCTTATTTGACCACTCACAGTTCCCATAAAAGCCCATCCAGTTCCACTCCCTGCCATGGGCAGGGACATCTTCCACCTTCCACAGTGTCCATCCTGGCCTTGGACTCTTCCAGGGATGGGGCAGCCTGCACCAGTGCTTGGTGCCCACCACCTCCCCCTCAGACAGAGAAACATTTCTTCCAAATACCTGATGTAAAGCTGCTCTCTGTCAGAATAAAGCCATCCCCCCTTGTTCTGTCACTCTCTGCCCTTGTGAAAAGTCCCCCTGCAGCTGAGAAATGCCTCCGTGGCAGTGCCAGGCTCAGGGTGTGGTGCCAGGGCTGTAACATCAGGCAGTGCATGTGTCCACATCTGCTACAGTGACTTTCCTGTGCCCCCAGCTGTCAGCACAGGACAGAGACCCCCCAGGCAGGGAAATTCAGGCTCAGTCCCAGTGCTTTCAGAGCCTGAGTCCTGCCTTCCACAAGCTCTGCTTCTGAGGCTGAGTCTGAGCCCAGCTCCAGGCAGCTGCTGGGGGAAGGTGGCCTTCTTCCATCCCTTACCCAGGGTGGCATCCACATAAGCCTGGTGCTCCTGGCTCTGCAGGAAGGCTCAGGAGCATTACATAAATCAAAGCCACCTGAGCACTGCTCTAGCTGCACCACCTATTGCTGCTGTAAGCAAACACCCTCTTTTGTTGCAAAACTACTCAGATTAGAAACAAAATCCCAGCTGCTCCCAACCTGGCAGGGGAACAGAGCCAGTGGCTCCCTGACCAGGCAGGCAGGCAGGCAGGAACTGCTCCAGGCTCAGCACAGCCTGTGTCCTACACCAAGCGTGCCCAGGCTGTCCTGATGTGTGCCCTAGGGAAGGCCAGCAGCATTCCCTGCTCTTCCCCCATCCCGGGGCCCTGCTGGGGCTGGTGACCTGACCCTGGCCATGGCCCCAGTGCCACCCAAGCTCTGCAGCAGTGGCTGTTGCAGGAGCAGCAGGACTGTGCCCTGACCCTGTCTCTCCGCAGGGGAGGGGTGATGCTGGTCCACGACATCCGCAAGAACAGGAGCTGGGTCATCGACTTCCGTGAGGTGGCTCCCCTGGGCATCCCGCTGGAAGGGGACCTGCAGCAGGACACCAAGGTGAGTACCAGTATCCCACAGCCACTGCCTCCAGGGCTGTGGTCTCCAGCTCTTCTCCCTCCAGCTGTTCAGGCTGAGGGGCAGATGCCTAACAAAGCAACAATCTCTCTCATCATGGGAGATCTTGGGCCCTACAGGCATGGGGAATCTAGGGAAAACACTTCTTTATCAGCCCCAAAACGCCTGCAGAGCTTTGGGGAGTAAGGAGGCACCTCTGTGGCAGCAGGGTGCTGGGAGAACAAGAGCCCCTGAAGGAGCATAATCTCAGGTCATTCTGCTGAGTTACCTCTCCTGACTAAAGTGGGTTGAGAATAAGATTGAATTTGCCTCTCTCCTTCCAAAACCTTTTATTCCATTGTAAATTCTGTTGCTACAGACCTCTTCCCCTCTCCTAACTATGCAGATAATTCCAGAGTAAACATGACTTGGACCTCCTTGACTTGCAACTGGGGACCGTGTCCCATGTCCTCATGGAAAGGAGATTTCTCTCTTCTTTTTTGTCCTTCCTATTTTACAGCCAGGTCTGCTCGTGGGGGTGCCAGGCATGATCCAAGGAATGCACCAGGCACACCAGTTACATGGCAGGTGAGACACAAGGCTGGCACAGGCTGTGCCCCGAGGGCCCCGCAGGAAGCACACAAGCCCTTGCCATCAGACCGTGTTCTCAGCCACCAGTCAAAACCATTAGCTAAGAGGTATCTGGAGGCTTGTGTTGGAAGAGATGTTTATTTTGCTATTTCATGCACAAAAGAAAAAATTTAGTTGTCACGTTTTCTGCAAAGTGAAATTTTGGCCAAGAAGATGTACAATAAATGTTCTGTTAGAGATGCAGCACATTGCCTCACATGTCTGTGCATTTTCATTCTCTCTTTAGCTGGATCCTAAGAGGTGTGCCTGTCCTTGGTGCTCTGTTGGGATACAGAGAGATCTGAATGACTTGCTCAGGACCAGAGCCTGGCTTGAGGTTTTGCTGCTGAGACACCCCTTCCCCCATCCATGCACTGCCATTCCTCTCTGGGGCATGTCCTGGAGCACTGAGATGATCTTGTTAAGGAGAAACACAAGCACTGAAAGCTCACTGCTCCTTTTGGCCACTGCTGGCTCCACAGCCTGGTCTTCCAGGAGCCTCTGACTGCAGAGCCGAGCCCTGTGCCTGTCCCCACCACCCTGCCCCACTGCACCCCTCCAAGGCCCATTTCTTCTTGTCCTCTCTCCTTTGGCAGACTCCCATGGTCCGAGCTGCTGGGCCTCACGGCCGGCGTTGCCCAGAACGGCTTTAATGTCACACATGAGCTGGGTGAGTACCTGATGGGCAGCTGCCCAGCACAGGGCAGTTCACTGTGCAGGGCAGCTGGGAATGCAGGGGGTTATTCATGGGAAATCAGGGCTTTGTGGAGCTGGAGATGGATGGTGTTGGGAGCTGAGCAATGCGTGAGGCACAGTCTGCTGTGGGACAGCGTGGTGGCAGCCAAACAGGAGCCCTTTGCCATGGCTGGGCAGAGCCAGGGCAGAGCAGTCACACTGGACAGTGCCCAGGGCCAGGCAGGGAAGGGTGCTAGGGTTTCTTTGGGTTTCTTTCCCAGTTCCAAAGGGCCCATGATCCAGCCCCCATCTAGTTTTGCAACAGGGCCAGAGGCAGCTGCAGGCCTCCAATATCCCATCAGGTGCACAGTGACTGCAGGTCCTTTGCACCTTCCTGACCCCTGCTTTTTCTGGGCCTTCCCCTTCTCACCTGCAGCCAAAGCCCTGAGTGAACTGAAGGACCTGAACTACTCTGACCGATTCCACGAGATCTTCCTGCCAGATGGGCAGCCCCTGCTGCCTGGAATGTTCGTCCGGCGCCTGGACCTTGCGGCCGTGCTGCAGCTGCTGGGGGAAGAAGGGGTGTCAGCCTTCTACAGAGGAAACTTGACCCAAGAGATGATCTCTGAGGTGAGCCAGGACTACCCCTGTCACCTGCTGGCCTGGGGCTGCCACCTGCTTAAGGTGACACACTGGAGATAAGGCAAGTGCCAGCACAATGATGGGGACAGATGCCTCCCTTTCCTGTCCCTGCAGTGGTGTAAGTGACACACAGGCCATTCCCACAGTCTACAGAAGTTAAACCTCCATTTCCTCTATAAACAGGACAGTCTGGAAGGAAAACAAAAAACAGTTTGGACTTTGGGCTCTGGGCTCTGTTAATTTGTGTGACAAAACCTTTTCCCCCAGAACAAAACTGTTGAGAAACAAGTTGTTGTGGTTAATGGCACTGTAGGATACGGACTCCAGGAAGATGGTTTAAAAAAAAACTGTGAGTCTTGTGAGCAGAGGATGAGAAAGGTTTGGTCCCACTTGGAGTTGCCCTAATTTAACTCCTGTTAGAGGTACTCTGGAAAAAATATCAGAACTGACAAAGTAGTTCTGATGAAAAAAGCTCCCAATAAACCATTATAAACCAAACTTTTATATCTGTGGCTGCAGTCAGGGTGGTCGGGGCACCATTTTATTGAGCTACCATGGTTCAAATGATGCTCTTTCAATAGCTCATCAAGAATCTGGAATGTGTCGATTCCACTCAAGCCTCAGACATCTGTGGGCTCTGTGTTTAGAAATCTATAGTTCACCTGACCTATAGCAGAGGTGAAGGACGAGGAGCAGGAAGTTTCCCAAGCTTGTGAGCATCTCCACAGCTAAACCCTACTTTATCACCATGTTCCCCTGACTTGGGGGCTGCCACTGGAAAGCACAAATTCCCTGTGGAGGAGAAAGGCCCAGGGTTGCCATGTCAAAGATGCTGACAAGCTCTGGGATCCAGTGCACAATTCCAGCTTTTGTTCCAGAGCAAAGTGCTGCCTTCAGAAAGTGTTTCTTGTTGCAGCACAGGGAGGGTATCCATCTGGCAAAATCAAGAATAGCTCCATAACACCCACTCTTTGCTTCCAGGCACAGGTGCAAAATAGTGCTCTCTGGGGAATTTGAGATGTCTGCAGTGTGTTGCTGACTGGAGCTTCTTCCCCTTTTTCTGCTCCTTGTGCCCCATTTCCCACTGGCTGGGTCTGGGGAGCCTGGTCCTGGATCAGCACAGCCCTGGGGTTCAACCAGCCTTTTTTCTAGGAAAGAAACAGACATCCCAAGTAGGAAAGACATCTTCAGCAGCTTTGGGGTTGTTTGACATTCTGGCCCCACAGCATGGCCTGCATTAGCTGTCCTGCTCCAGTGATTCATTCAGTTTTGCCAGAAGAGTTTTCCTGCCAAAGAAGCTGGCTGGGTTAGAGATCAGAGCATGCAGACATCCCAACAATCCCACCCTCTCCCTGAGAGCATTGTCCAAACACTCCTGGAGCTCTGGCGGACTTGGGGTCATGTCCATTCCCTGGGGAGCCTGGTCAGTGCCCCACCACCATCTGATGGTCCTCCCTTACCTCCATCATGACTCACACAGAAGACCTGCAGCGGAGGGAATGGCCCATCTTTCCTGTGTTCATGAAAATTACCAACCCAGGCACGTTGTACCTCTGACAGGAATCTTGCAGGAAGGCCAAGGCTACAGCAGACCCACTTTCAGTTGAAATAATTTCAAATAGAGTGAGAACAGTGATATTTTTGTTTTTAGTTGAGAATTCTAATGATGGCCACCTGCTACTCCCAGGCTCCTTGTCTCCCAGATCCATAATCCTGGCAGTATTTAATACCCCTTAACACACTCCTGTTTGCCAGCCAGGACAGGGCCAATCCCCATCTTCCTGGGGCAGACAGAGTGTCCTGGCAGCACCCCTGGGGCAGGTGAGCTTTTGGACATAAGTGCAGAGCCTTCCTGTGATGCTGAACAGTGAGCCAGGTCACCAGGAATGTGAAAGCACAGATTTCCAAGGTATCCTAAGGAGCCTGGCACTTGGCTCAGGAATCTCAATGGAGTGTGTTTGACACATTGGGCCAGCACAAGGAGCACGGAGAGCCTTGGCTCAGCCTGCTCAGGGTGCACTGCTTTGCTCTCATGCAGGTCCACAACTACGGAGGAGTCTTGGTGGAGGAAGATTTCAGCAATTACAGTGTCACTGTGGAGGACCCTGTGCACACAATCTATCGAGGTACACCCTCACCCATCGTTGTGCAGCTCCAGGGAAAGTTTTCTTCACCTCACAAGGGGTGGCAACAGCATTGAACAAGAGCTGAAGTCAAAGCTGCACTGAAATGTCTGCAGAAAAGCCTTCCAGGGAGTTTCCTGCTATTCCCTGCTGACATTGATGCATCATGGGTGGTTCAGGAGATTTTCAGCACTTTGAAATATTTATTCCATTGAAAGTCTAAAGACGCAACATGGTCATATCTTGAGGCAGCATCTCAACAGAAGTTGCACTTACAGCTGAAGACAGTTCCCAAAGGGAAAAAAGCTAACTTTATGCAAGAAGTTTCTAAAATGTCATATTTTCTATCAATGCCTTACCTTGCTTATAGATGTAATGTTGCAAACCCATTTTCTAGGTGGCCTTCCAGTATGTAAAAGGGGTTTATAAAAATGAGAGAAAGTGACTTTTAATGTGGGCAGATAGTGATAGGACAAGGGGAATGATTTCAGACTAAAAGATTTAAATTAGATGTCAGAAAGCAATTTCTCCCGGTGAGGGAGATGAGGCCCTGGCACAGGGTGCCCAGAGCAGCTGTGGCTGCCCCATCCCTAGAAGTGTCCAAGGCCAGGTTGGATGGGGCTTGGAACAACCTAGGATAGCGGAAGGTGTCCCTGCTCATGGAAGGGGGTAGGACTGGATGATATCTAAGGTCCCTTCCAACCTAAACCACTCTGATTTCCTATGATTCTATCTCCATTCTTCCATGTTGCTTTCTATTATTTCCTCTCTAATCTGGAAGGGTTTCCCTGTTCCCAAGGACACTGACTCATAGACAAGTGCTCTCACTGGAAGGTATCTGACAAAAGCAGTTTAATTCCCCTTCTCTTCCCTCCACAGGACACCTTGTTTTCACCCCCCCACCTCCACATGCAGGTCCTGCACTGATCACAGCACTGAACATCCTGGAGGGCTTTAACATCACAAGGCAAGGATCCAGAGGGAATATCTTGCACTGGGTGGCAGAGGTAAGAGGAGATTAAACATTTGGCTGAGTTGCTTGTGCAGCTAGAGAATGATTTATTTATTTTGTGGTTGTGGGTTTGTAAGTTATTCCCAGAAGAGAATGAGCTGCTTTACACTGCTAAGATGTAAAACTGAGCAGTGCTGCTGTCTCAGAGGCTGAGCAGGAAGACCTTTCCTGCTTAGGAAGAGCTTTTTCAGAACAAACTGTGGCTTCATCCATTTCTTGTACATGCTCACCTCTGCAGAATGACCCCACAGCCCCTGAGGGTGGTCCCATCAAGTTCCTTCACCTCTTAGCTCCAGTGGCCCTGGCCACTGCAGAGCACCCGAGGGCACTGCAAGGTGTGCTGCAAGAAAAGCCTCTACACACTGATGACAAGGAAAACTGACCCAATACTTCACATTGAAAAAATAGTTTACTTTTTTGCCCACCTCCTGATCTCTGAGGTCCAGAATTTTTCCAGTAATTAGGACTGTCCTGCTAAAACATTGCAGCTTCCCAGGAGGTTGAGCAAGTGCTCTGTCTCCTGCTCTGTAAACAGAGTTGTGCTCTTAGATGCTCCACAGATCCACAGATGGGTTTTATGAGTTGAAAATTTACAGATCCACAGCTGGGCTTTATGAGCTGTGAATTTTAATTGAGGATTTAACTACATCCTTGTCGCAGACAGGACAATGGGTGCTTGGAAGTGTCTCAGCAATAATGCAGCAACTGGAGGTGTTACACACTGTGCAAAAGCACAGGAGGTTGACTCACCTGAGTAATTTGTGAGCTCTTTTCAGGAAGTTTTGGGTGAATCTATCTGCTCTGACAAGAGTTTTACCTGTATCCTGGAGCAGCAACCTCCATCTCCAAGGCAGTCACTTCAGGAGATGTGTAACCCTGATTGTCTGGGTCCCACAGCTGAACATGTGGCTGAGGTTCAGTGCTAGGCCAGCTTCAGGTATCCAACCCTGGGACAACCAGAACCAAGATAACTTCTGGGGTGGGTGTGCTCTGTGTGTTTTCATGGAGCTCTTCCCTCACATCCAAGCCCTTGCACCCCCCAACACGGTGTGGTGGTCAGGACATTGCTCCATGGAAATGCCTCCTCCCCCAGAGGTTTGTCATGTTCTGCTCTCACACAGTTGATAACCAAGGAGAAGCTGTTGCTGGGTGGCACATTCCAGACCAGCAGTCACATCTCACTGGCTGCCTGCAGGAGAGTGGACTGTTCTGAATGCTGAATGACCATGGCACGACCTGCAAGCTGAACATTGAGGGTGTTTCTGCTTTTTCTGTAGCTCTCTCTCTCCTCATGGCTCTGCCCTGGCTATGCTGTAGTTCCAGGGCTGAATAAACTGTGTCCTGAGAAATTGCATCTTCCCATTTTCAATGGACTGCCTCAGGCAGGATTCTGCATGTTTGAGAAACCACATCTTTTCTTCCTTTTGCACCATCATTCCCTGACATGTGCTGGGACTGATGCTTTCTGTTCAAACCCTTTGGATGGTTTACAGCCAGGAGCTGGGCAGCAGCTGGGGAGCAGAACAGCTCATTTCTGCTCAGCACTGGTGCTGGGCCAGCAGAGCTGGGATCCAGAGGCAGCAGCAAGCCCAGCAGCCCCTGTCCCATTGAAATTCAGTCTGGTATCTGCTGTTGTGGTGACCACTCAGGAATGGGAAGAGAAAGTAAATGGCATCCTGGAGACCCTGTCTGCCAGCTGGCAGTGAAGCTGAACCACTGAGCTGGACATCAGCTACTGCCAGGGATGTTGCACTTGTGGCTTCCCACTGCCAGAGGGCAGGTTTAGATGGGATATAGGGAAGAAAATCTTCCCTGTGAGAATGGTGAGCTGTTGGCAGAGGCTGCCCAGAGAAGCTGTGGCTAGCACATCCCTGGAAGTATTCAATACCAGGTTGGAGAAACATGGGAAGGTGTCTTTGCCCATGGCAGGGGGGTGGAATGTGATGAGCTTTAAGGCCCTTTCCAATGCCAGCCATTTTGTGATTCTGTGTTTGTACAAATGCTGCTGGATTCACTTGGCTCCCTCAGCACAGTTTGCCATGCCAGACTGAGGCTCTTTGGTTCCCATACCCACATGTGGCAGCCCTTTGCACTGAGGTATTCCCAGAACCCAGACTTCTGGTAGTTTTTCTTCATAAGCTTTAGCCAACACACCAGGACACCAGATACCTCTTCTAGTTTGGAGTATCAGAAGTTGTATTTCCAGGGCCACATAAATGTTTTTCCTTTCCCCTCCCCTCTCCTTTCCTCTCCTCTCTTTTCCTCTCCTCTTCCTCCTCTCCTCCTCTCTTCCTCTCCTCCTCTTCTCCTTTCTTTCCTTTCTTTCTTTAGACACTAAAAATAGCCCTGAGTCTGGCAAGCAACCTGGGAGACCCATCTGGTGACGTTTCTGTCACTCACACAGCAGAAGTCATGGTGAGGTATGTCTGAGGAGGACAGGCACGGTGGCAGTTGCAGGATGTGTGGGTTGGATATAATTCCTGCATTTGCTGAACTTTTTCTCCCTCTGTTTTATGAAGGAAAGGTCAGACCTCAAGTGTCCTCCCAGGGCTTTCACAAGGATCAGAGCCCCCATGAGGCTCTGGGGATGGGTCATTCAGGATGGGGTGTCTTCACTCAGAGGTTTCTTGGAGCCAGCTTGAGCTTGAGGGTTCCTCCCACTTTGCCACACCTCTAAACATTCCCTCTGAATGGGTCAGACAAACAGCCATCCCTGTTCCACTTCTGCCTCTCCCTGCCCCACTATGGGGCTCAGAGCCTTGCAGAACAGCCAAATGTGCAGGAGAGGCCAGGTCTGGGGTTTTGGCCCAGCCTCCCACCTCAGAGCCAGGTTTAGCCATGAATGATGATTGGGCTGGGCCTGACTTGTCCTCCTGCTGAAGACTGGCATTCAGCTGGGATTGTCACCTTGGCCACTGGGGGTGGATTTACTCCTGCTGAGGGCAAACAGGGGTAGACAGAACCTTTGGAGGTTTATGGCAGACTTGAGTGCCTCTCTGTGCCAGCTGAGCCACCTTGTCACCCCTTCCTTCCTTGGGGTGACCCGAAACAGCGCCCTGTCCTCACGCAGCTCCTCAGGAACACCCGCCCCTAGCTGTGCAGAGACACCAGGACATGTTCAGCTCCCCAGGCTCATGGCTTGCTTTCCTCCCTCCCTCCTCGCTGAAGCAAATCAGAAGCCAATTCCCTGCGCCAGCTGATCAATGACTCCCAGTCCTTCCCGTCCGACCTCCGCGCGCCTCAGTCCCCGCCGGAGAGCGGGACCGCCGCCAGCCAGGTCCTCGTCATGGGCCCCGATGACTTCATCGTCGCTGTGGTGAGGTAAAGGATTGGCCTCTCCCCTCCACCCTGAGCTCACAGCGAGGAGGGAGGGGGTTCAGCAGGACAGGATGGGACCAGACCTGCTCTGTCCCAGTCAGTCCTGCAGCACAGGAATGGGAGAGATGGGGATGAGATGTGTGGGCTGGTGCTGCTCTGCCCTGTGCAATCTTAGAGTGCTCTGGTCATGAAACATGGCTGGAGTGGCCTGTATCTGCTCCCTGGGGGAGAGGTGATGGCAAGTGTAGGACTAATGGAGGCAGATCCACCACAGCAAAGGGAATCCTCAAACACGGGGAGGGACAGAGCTGCTGTGACATACGTGGCTCCTGCTCCTAAGTGTATGGAAACTGTTTCTCCTCAATCTCAGCAGCCCTAGAAAACCACCAAAGAATCTCTGTCAAGACAAGGTGGGACACAGAGTTGGAGCCCTGAAAGCCTCAATGTATGAAAAATCACTGGAATGATTTTTATGAAATTTTTTTGTGTTTCTTTTCAGTTCTTTGAATCGTCCCTTTGGCAGTGGAATAGTAACACCCTCTGGAATCCTCCTGAACAGCCAGATGTTGGACTTCTCCTGGCAAAATAAAACAATGAACCACTCCATTCCCAAGCTGGTAATGAATGACATGACAAATTCTTTATTTACCTTTTTTTTTTTTTTTCCAATTTTATTATTTTCTTCACAACAGGGGAACTATTTAATGCCTTATTAATAACAGAGACAACAGCCTGTAGAAAGCTGCTATTTTTCATTATATGAGCCACCGAAAGTGATAAAAGAGAGGGCTCCATGTCCATTAGTTATTAGTACAATGCAGAATATCAAGCAACACTGTTACCTACTTTCCCTGCAGCCCAGATGCTCTGTAACAGTGTGGACTTGTATTAAGCACTCTCTTCATGAAGTGTTGCTCTGCAGGTTAAAAAGTAACAGGTAGCAGGAAAAAATGTTTTCAGCTCTTGGAAAGAAACAAATGCAGACCGTGCTGGTGGCTTCCAGTGATGCCTTATGTATTGTAAAACCACCCCACTTCGCTGGGGTGGCTCTGTGGAAGAGGGTGATGAGCTCCATGTTCCTTCTGTGGAAGAGTTGGCTTGGTGACATTTTTTGGTGTGACTTTTCTTCAACTGCAGCAAAACCTCCTTCAGCCTCGGAAGCGGCCGCGGTCCTTCCTGCTGCCCACCATCGTGAGGCCCTCCAAGGGGATGTGTGGCACCTACCTGTGTCTGGGAGCCAACAACGGGGACAGAGCCCTGAGCAGCATCGTCCAGGTTGGTGCTGTGTCCTCCCAGAACAGCGAGGCTGAGGAGGGTCCCCTTCTTTCCCTTCCTAATTGTCCCAGCCTGAGTCAAAACTGGTGGCCACAAGTTATTGGTTCAATCTTTGGTGTCACCAGTTCCACACTTTGGTTATTTCAAATCTCTAAGGCTTACCAGTTTATTTTCCTTGCACATTTTCTGGTGGCACCACTCATAATTGTAGAGGAGAAGCATTTTGGCAAAATCGATAATGGTTTTTGTCATTCTAATACCTGTTCAAAACTCATCTTAAGGATGATGAAGAAAAAGAGGAACATTTTGTTATTCAGAGAATTTCAGGAAACTGGCAGCCCTTAGACCTTTTCCACATGAAAAGCTCCTTTTAAGGCTTTCCCAACTGAATTCTTCCAGCTCAACACTGAATATAAATTGGGCAGTTCCTCTTAATTTATGATTTGTAATGAGGTGAAGTACTTGCCAACAGCTTGATTGCGTGTACAGCAGTAATGGATTGCTGGAAAGAAAAACCTGAGAAGAGCTCCCCGTTTCCTTACCTTTTGGAAAGCGTTTTTCAGAGCAAAACCAAAGCTAAGAACTGCTTCCTAGTGCTTTGTTTGGAGAGGTCACACGCTGAGCTTTTGGCTGTAACACTTCTTTAGAGCTTACGTCATGTTCCAGGCACACAACTCCAGTACTTTAGCAGGAACTATGTGACAAAAAGCCCACGTTATCCTGGAAATGTCCTGCTTCACATGCAACAACATCCAGGCCATATTCCAAGGACCTCTTAGTGTGTGCACACCCCTGCAGCAGTTCATGCAGTTTAGTAAATGGTTCAAAATTTCCTTTGCTTGCTGCATGTGCAGATGTTGGAGCCACCAATTTGGGGATGCTCAGGAAGTTGGCTTCTATTCTCATCAGTTTTTTTATTATTGAGGATAATTTACTCTCTTGCAGGTTTTGTTAAATGTTTTAACATTTAACAAGAATCTGAGTGAAAGTCTGTCACTTGGTCGACTTCACCCCGAGCTTCAGTCCAACACCTTGCAGGTTGACAGTGAGTATGGACACTGTGTGGGGTGCAGCCTACAAATCCAGCAAGTTTAGGAAAAGAGCAGGATTTTCCTAGCACACTGCAATGAAAACACCACAGGTCACCATTTTCTAGGGTCCCAAGGGGTGTGGAGGGTTTTGAGGAAGATAAAAATCAGAATTCAACTTCTTCAAAGCTTGGAGCCTTTGCTGAGCCATGTCCTTTCCCTCTTGTCCTTGAAATTTTTCCGACCCCTCCAGCACCAGCTCTCCAAGCTCTTTCAGGAGCTTCTCCCAAATGCTCCCTCTGTCCCAGCTCATTTCCTGGTAGTGGCCTTGCCCTGTCCTTAAATCCTTCTGGAGATCAGATGCTATAGACAATATCCAAATCAACAAGATTGCAGCCTCAACTTCACCCAGACATGTGCTCAAAGCTTCCTGCACTTTATTCCCATTGACATAAATTATATTCCTTCACTTTTCAGTCCATGTCTCTTAATTCCAGCAGCTGGGAAGAAGGCAAAGCTTAAGGCAAAGCCTGTAGCTTGACAGTGCTGAAAACACAGCATCATTGCTGGCACTCTGCAGTCTGTCAGGTCTTGTCCTTGTTACTATAAGTTTTGGTCTATTTGGTGTTTTTCATGCTTCCCCAAACTTCACCACAGTGCACCACAAGTGAAATTTGGTTCTCATTCCACACCAAGTAGCCAAAGTTTCTGGGCTTTCCCATTTCAGAGGAAAATCTAAAAAGAATCTGACCTGCAGTACACCCTGCAGACTTGGAAACTAAAACGGAATTAAATCTAAAACTTCATAAAGTCCTAATTTGTGAGTTTGGACATTTGGCATCAACAAGATACATGTTAGGACACAACATAAAAAGCTTAAATACCAGTGGGGTTTCTGTGTCCATATTCCATTTGTCCAGCTGCACCCCCAACTCCAGGGCCTTGGGGTCTTCTACTTATACAGAAATTACAAACTATCAAATGAACCAAATAAAAGCAGAAGAGCAGCAACCTGAGGTATATGTCTGGAAGATTAAGAAATACATGCAGGGGAAGTTGGGAAGCTTAGCACAAAGTTTATCATTTGGCAACTTGTTTTACATGTTTTACTGTCTCTTGCATCTTATTTTGACTAATAATAGTTAATACTCTTATTTGTAACTAAGAGAGGGCACTGCCTCATGTTCTGTAAGAAGAATAACTACAATTGGTGTTAACCACATAGCTTCCTCTTCTTCCAAAGAGGACAATCTTCCACATTGTTGAATGGTGTTGTAGATCATCCCATAGCCCATGGCACGAGGCAGTGGCCCCTGGCCCTTGGCTTTCCCAGCTGGAACCTTCTGAAGGGGCTGCAGGCCCCTCTGCCAGGTTCCCCCCCTGCAGATCCCAGCAATGTTAAACAGAACTTCACATCAAAGGCAGCACTGGTTTTAGTTACCAACTCCTCTTTTCAAATCCATGCAGGTGAGTTTCCTGAAGAAGATATTGAATTTCTTGTGGCCAGGGGCCATCAGGTGGATAAAGTCCCAGTGGTGTCCCTGGTTCACGGGGCCAGGAGAACCAACAGTTTCATCATTGGCCTGAAGGACCCCAGGAGTGTAGATGCTGCTGGAGCCACGATCTTGTAGCAGCTCCCAGGGAATATGTTCTGTGACCAAGGCTGACACACAACCCCAGTGATGTGCATGTTCTGAAGTGGCCCCTTCTCCAGCCCCACACACTGCTGGGAAGATGCTCTGCCCACCCTGACAGCACCAGAGGAGTCAGCAGCACCAACATCCAGCTCTCCTTTGATTTTTCAATTATTTGGATTGCAAGCAGCCCCATCCTTGTTACAGGAGTGACAGGAGCACTTTTCCTTCAGCAGTCTTGCTAATAGTTCAGTCTTTCCAAAGCCCAGTTCTAGCTAGCACCTTACTTTTAGGGATCAGGAACATGAGCAAGGGAAAAAACAGCTGCTGCTGCTGCTGCTGATGTTATTGATAATGATTATGCTCATCTCCCTGTCTTTCACAAGTTCCTTCTTTGCCTCCAGTAATTAATACAGCCTGATGTGCTGTTTGTAGGTACCTGCAGCTGGAATATTTGGGTTAATACTCCATCTGGGCCAGCTGATTTCTACCAGCATGCAGCATCGCAGGGAAGTTCCTTTGCTCACTTCACTACATACCTTGAATTTTGGCAGTAAACATTTTGAATCCAGTTGCTGCACAGACTTGCTGGCAGTCTGATTTTGTAACCAGACCAATGATTTTCAACAGCTCTAACAACTTCCTCTAACAACTTGTGCACCCGCCAGTAGTTTTCTTACAGAGGTTCAACCTCCTCACTGGTGAATTTCAGATTTATAGTAACAGGTTTAACTTTCTTAGACACTTTTTGGAGATATCTTAGCAGTACTTCACTGAGTTGTAAAAAACCACAGATCACTGAAGACCATGTGGAGACCATTCAGGTGGGTTCAGAGCTTTCCTTCCACTGCCTTATCTCAGTCTGTTCTACAAGCCTGGGTCATTCCTACAGAGAGACTGGGGAATTTCTGCTGACTGTATTCATGGCTGTAGCTTAGCCTCATGTTTTAGTCCTAGTGAATCTATTGGAAAGCTGAAGAGAGTGAGAGAAAAAGCAAACCAAACACTACTGAGATAATTTTCTGTCCACAGCATGTAGTGAAAATAAAAGAATGCTCTTGCATTTCATGTCTGAAATTGAGAAGAAAAGAATGCCCCAGCTGAAATCTGCACTAGGTCATTCAGCCCACATTTGGATGTTTCCTGCTCTTTTTGCTGGCAAGTTAGAGACTCTTGCTACTAAAAAGTCTGGAGTTTGATCATTTTCTGGGGTCTAAAATGTGATGTTTTCCTTCATGGTGCAAATGCACCCATGGCCACTGTACATATTATATATGTATGTCTGCTTATGGTTGTCTTGCTCTTTGATTTGATGATCACACCACTCACCCTGACCCTCCTCCCCAGGCACCCTGTGACACCCTGTTTGTGCCACCTTCTGGCACTTGATGCCATGGGCTGATTTTGGGGTAGTCAGGGCCACAGAGCAGATAATTGGACTAATAATTCCTGCCACTGGAGAGCTGTGGATCTCAGAACACCCCAGTGAAGCGAGTTGGGCTGAGTAAGAACAGAGGTGTTTCCGTGCTCTGCTGAAGTGCAGCCACCCATGAGAGGAACACAGCAGCTCCCACTGACAGCACCATCAGCAGCTTTTCCTGTTCCAAGTGCATCCATGCCCTCAGCTGAGACAGTGGAAGCACAATGTTGTATCTGCATCGTGTTCTGTGCCACCAAGAAGAGACTTTCTTCACCACAGGGACACCAAATATGTTTATTTATTTCTCTTTCATCAGCACTAGAGTTGGTCACTGCCCAAGGATGGAGAGTTCATAAATGTGTCTTGGAGCAGACCTCTCCAGGCTCCATGGGAAGGGAAGGAGGTGGTTTTGTGTCTCTGGAGATGATCTGGGGGTTTCTGGTCTGTCCCAGCCCAAATGTGTCCCTTGGGCATGGAGGTTCTCTAAGAACAGCTGCAAAATATGTGGTCAAGTCACAGTCAGTGCAGGACTTTGCATGAAATATCACAAAACACTTTGAAAGATTAAATTCCTCCTTATTAACTGAATTCACCAACTTCTGATACTGGGTACTGTGTATATGTTTGGGAGTAAAAGATGATGGTCTTGATTGAAAAGGGCACTCCTACATCCCAAAGTACAATTTCACAGTTATTATCCAGAATCTTAAAATAAAGCATGTTCCAAAGTGTTCTGCTGGATCATGGCCTGCATTGCAAAAAAAGAGAAAATTGAAGATAGTTGGAAGATGAGATATGTGCCCCTAGATTTTGGCTAAGAGAAGTAAAGGTATTCCAAATTATTTCCCATTTTTTTCTGTTCAAAAGCAGCATCAGTGTATCACAGGTGTATCCAACATGGACACCTTTAATCTGCTAATGAGCCTGGTGTCTCTGGTATTTTGAGCCCATCTGTTGTGATCTGATGAATTTTACATCTAGTGAATTTAAGATCTGATAAATTTAACATGAGGTACCAAGAAATACCTGATGTTTCCCTCGGTACAGGTGAGATGGAAATTTTGAAATAAAGGGCTGTATTGCAGAGATGTGTGTGTGCAGAGTACCTGTGCTGATTTCAGCCTGGCCCTTGCAGGCATCTGACAGCTCTGAAGCAGAATTTGTCCTGAAACATTGTCATGGAAGTGTCAGTGAAGAGCTCAGAACACAAAATACAAAGGGGCTGAGTAAAACAATAACGATTTTAAAAAGAACAAAATAAACACAAATAAAGTAAATACATTTTAAAAAAGATGCCTTTATTAAGTATGACAAATTATGATCTGGAATGTGACCAGCTTGTTTCTGTCCAGGTTTGCAGTGCTGTCTGTCAGTGTGTGCTGGTTTCACATGAGGATAAACCGGAGCCAGGCTCTGCTGCTGAGTATCAGCAGTTTATCCAGGTTTCTCCCAAGGGCTGGATGCCCCTCTCGAGCACAGGTTTCAGAATGCCCGGTGGCTTTGGGCACTGCTGCTCACCCGGGCACTGCTGCAGCCAGAGGGGAACGAGGCAGGAGCCAGCACTGCCCTCCTGCAGCGGGGGATGAGGATGCTTTGGGCTGTTCTGTGTCCATCACGGTCCCGTGGGACAGGGACAGGGGCTGGAGCCTGCCTGATCGCAGCACTCCGGGGTGCTCAGGGTGCTCAGACACTGCTGCTGCTGCTGGCACAGGACCAGGGACCCCTGGGCACGGCTGTGGGACCTGCTGAAGAGCAGCCCAGGGCACTGCAGCTGTTCCTGCGCTCCAGCCTGTCCTGCCCCATCCCGGGGAAGCCGATACTACCGGGGGCAGGGGAGGGCAGAGAGCAGTGAAGCAATAAAATCAAAGGACCCTCTAACTATTTAAAGTTAAGGAGGATATATTTATTATTATTACGGCCGGGAGACGCGCCGGAGTCCTCTCCCAAAGTCGTGCGCGTCCCCCACGGCCCCTTATTCCCGATTTATTTCCCAAAGTATTACATACGCATAGGAGTACACCATACATCTGTACATATTCATTGCTGATTCCGCCTGCTCTCATCTCGTACGGTAATGAGCTCCACGCCCCTCTGGGTATGCTCAGTTTTTCTTTAAAATAGGTCTGGGGTCTTTTTAATGAAATCTTGCTTTTCCTCGGGCTTGAACTTCTCGACTGTGTCCTGTTGGCAGCTCTCCAACTTCTCTTGGACACAGTTCAGATCCCTTGCTTGCAGGTGTAGACACGGTCCCTTTCTCTTCCACAATAGTCCATCCTTCTTGTCTCCTTCTACAAATACAGCTTAAACGGGATGATATTTATCTCTGTGGACCATTCATTTGATTTTGGCAATTGTTAGCTACATTGTATTCCCTTTGCAAGCAGGACCTGCACAGGCCGGCTTCTAACCAAGCATATCCAGTCCTACACTGCTTTTATCCCAAATTCTCTTTCATCTCTTCCACTCCAAATTTTTTCATAAGCTGCTTCTATTTTGGTTAAAATCTTAATTCTTTAATTTCCTTAACTCAGCAGCCGCTGCTGCCAGAGCTGGGGCAGCAAACTCGGGTCCTCTGTTTCCAGAGGTGATGTCCAGCATCCCACAGCTCTGCCAGTGTTACCCTGAGGTGTCCCTCAGCTGGGGCAGCAAGCTGAAAGTGCCACTGAGTGCTGGCCAGCCGGGTCACTCTCTGGGAACCCACTGGAGATTCCCCCCAGACAATCTCAGAGCCTCCTTCCAGCTCGACAGGGCTGATGGGGGAGAGAAAGGGGAGTCAGGCCTCAGTAAACACCCTGAGAGGAAACCTGCATCTCTTTTATGAACACCAAAAGGACCGAGGGGTTGGTAAAGTTTTGCAAAGAGTCAGATGGAGCAGGAAGAGCTTCTGCAGCACCCAGGTGTTCCCAGTAGTTTTGGAAAGCTCGTCCATAACTCAGCGATGGAAATTGGCACCTAGCCAAAGAAAGGAAAGCTCTGACAGGCAGAGCTGGTTTCAGAGAGGCAGGACACCATTAAAAATGGAGCATACTTGTGTGGAGGGCAGGTGGAGTAGGAGCACCAAAGCACTGACACACACTGCCCTTGAAGGACCCTCCAGTGGTCAGGGCATTTTTAGATGCAGATTGTCCTGGCAGAGCTGGCCCTGGCTGCCTGTGAGGAGCATCCAGTGTTACAGCAGCTCCTGGGCAGCCATGGACTTTCACCCACCAGCATTGTTCCTGGCACAGCCAGGACTCCCCACCCAGCAGGTTCCACCTTTCCACATGCTCGGAGTGGAGGAGGAGAGGTTAACTCCTGTGTAACCCTGCCTTGCCTGTTACACCTGTGGCCAATTGCCCACCTCTCTCTCACCACACTCACAGTTTAACAAAACACCAGATCCAAGGTGATAGTGACTGCAGTGCAACAGATCTCCCTTCTTTCTCTCCAAGTGAGCATTGTACCAGTGTTGGAGGGGAAATAATTTTGTTCAAGTAATTTTTCTGTGTAATACCTGTTGTTTGAAAATATTGCCATATGAAAATGTGCGTAAATAAACCCACAGTTTTGATTGTCATGATATCAAATACATTTGTGTTCTGTTGTGGACAATAAGGCAGCTCAAAACACCTGTCTGCTGCAGGCAGCCCTCCTTCCCTGCAGGAACTGTGGTATCATTCTGTGTCATTGTTTTGCAGCAAAGCTTCAGCATCCCAAACAAACTGAGGGCCTGCTCCTGGATGAGTTCCACAAATAGAATGACAACAAAAATTCACAGAACAGTTTGAGCTGGAGGGGACCTTAGAGATTATCCAGTTCCAGCCCCTGCCCTGGGCAGGGACACCTTCCACCATCCCAGGTTGCTCTAGGCCCTGTCCAACCTGGCCTTGGCCACTTCCAGGGATGGGGCAGCCACAGTTTCTCCTGTGTTGTTAATGCTGTACAGAGCTTGGGCAAGATCCAGGAACACCCAGGCTCTGTAGTAAGCTCAGCTCTGGAGATCAGCCTGCAACACACTTTGCTGCAGGGATGTGTGGCAGGCCTGGAGCTGCCCCATGTTTCTTCCCTCTCATACCCCCACATCAAATTATTCCCTTTGCCTCACTGCCAGTGGATGCCAAGGCAACCTGGGGGTCCTTCAACTGCCAGTCTCCAACAGAGGTGCCTCAAAAAGGTCTCTGGTTGTGTCCTGTAACCCTGGTGTCCCTTCAGCTCCACTTTCCCTTTGCTTCCTTACCTTTGTGACAAGGCTATTTTAAGAGAATAGGGTTCAATTTTAATTATGGGTCAGTTTTAATTATGTGGAGGCTGAACCAGTTCTGGTCTTTCCCAACAGTGAGCAGAAGCATCAGAAGCCATGGGAAGCAGTATGCTCTGAAGAGTGAGGTGGTTGTACAGGTCTCAGGCTGCTAAGGAAGGGAGGGCTTTTTGTGATTAGGCACAGGGAAGTTGTCCATGTGGGATCTCTCAAACTGAGACCAGAAAGTCACAGCACTTGGATGGCTTGAGCAGATCTTGGTGGGACACCTCAGTATGGTGCTTCCAGAAAAGGTGGGTTTTGGAAAATAGCATTTGGCTTGTTCTTGTTTGCTGAGGGATTCAAGACGTGCCTGGTACTAATGTGCATAATACAGGTAAAACCAAGCAAGCTGAGAATTCTAAGGGCTGATCTGGCATGACAAGCATAGCAACAGGAGTGGGAAGCTTTTTGGAAGCTTTTGGAAGTAGCGCTCTGATGTCTCTGTGCTGGGGGGATGCCTTTTGGGGAAGATGAGGCTGGAGGAGGAAGTTCAGTGTAGGTGGTTTGAGAAGAGCCTCATGAAACAAGGAAAGCATGAAGTCATGTGGGGAAGAAAGCTTAATTCTTGGTACCAAAGAAATTTTCTCTCAGCTTCCTTATGTTTCCAGACAGTCCCAAAGTCCAGGAGCAAAGCTCGGTAAAGACTGGGAATCATCCACATGAAGGCAAAAGGAAACTCCAAGAGATGATCAGATTAATCAAATGTTCCTCATTCCCACCGCTGTGACTGATCCCCTTCTCCTCTGACCTGACATCCAAGAGGGGCTCAAGGGACTTTGCCCTTGTCTCAGCACACTGGAGAAGTGCTGGAATTGCTCCCCATGAACTGTGAAAGACACAAAAAGGCAGAAGAAAAATCCTTGACTGAAGGATTCCTCACCCTCTGCCAGGGGGGAGCCTGAGAGCTGCACACACCGAGGAAAGCAGAAATCTACCTGCAGCTCTGCACACACCAACCAGATTTAATGCTCAAGGTAAGTCCTATAGTAACCATGACATTAATAATTTTGTTTTGGTGGGTTTTTGTGGAATGCAATTATATGTGAATCTATAAAAAGAGTTTCTCTCTATGTTGCAAGCTGTAGTGCCCAATGAGATGTGGGTTTGTTGTATTTAAAAGGTTTTACAAAATAAAAAATAAAAAGAAAAAAATTCCCTTTTTCATGTTGTTTATCCAAGTGTATTCCACATGAAGTCAAGGGTGGCTGTGAGGGCTGCACACACTCTCCTGAAACCCCTTAAGCCACTGAACCTGCTCAAGCTCAAGCTACTGAAACACACGACTTTATTTTTCTCATAAAGGACTTTTGATTGTTTCCCTACCCTGAAACAGGAATTCCCATGTGTGTCATTTCTTCCCCAGTGCCAGGCAAGAGCTTTCTGCCCACAGCAATGATGGGCAGAAAACCAGACATCTCAGAGGTTTTGCATTGATAATTTCTCATAATAATAAAGGATGTAG